ACACACACACGTTTCCATGAAAGCCGACAAAGAGAATACGAAGCTGCCGCCAGTTCAAGCGTGGTCTGTCTTCACGTTCCAGTTGTTGCGATGCCATACTGTGGATGAGGTTGGCATATGCGGACGTGTGTTTGAGTGTGTAGGTTTGGGGACTGGCACAGAAACGCACAACTCGCTGCAGCAGTGCCAGTGATTCTGAGTCATCGAGCTTTTTTACCGTAGATTAGAGGAAGGAAGGAAATTGGGTCAGACATCTGAGAGCCAGGCATTCCTGTTTCTGCGATGGGTGTCAAGACATTATCCAATTCTACGTCCTTTTCTACCACTTTTTTATTTATTTTTTTCTTGCGTTCTCTTCCCCTCGTGCATGTTTTTTTTTAACTCCCCACTTTCGCTGGTCAAAGAGAGGAGGGAGTTATTGTGCTTGGCACGGCGGCGGAGGACGGGCTTCAATTTGGACACAGCCCAGCTGATCAATCTCCACATTGGCTCAGTTACAGCACAGTGTGTGTGTGTGTGTGTGTGTGTGTGTGTGTGTGTGTGTTTAACAGCTAAGCTTTTAAACTATGCAAACCAGCAGATTGTTATAAAAGTGAAGCACACTGGATTGATCCTGTGTGGAAATAACTTTTTCTATACACTGAGCCGTGGAGGAACAATGAATTGGATTAGAGCTGGAATGAGCATTGATGGGGAAACATGCCGCACTCATCTGCTGCAAAGTCACAATATGTGGAATTAAGTCTGTTCTCCGAGCGTCAGTCTGGACTCGAGCGTCAGCTGAACGTCTGAAATGTGGCGTCCTCCCAGCGGCACGTCTGACATGACTGTGTCCGGGTAGATAGTAAGCTGATTTGGAAAGGAGCTCTCTCTCTCTCACACACGGAGATGAACACACACATGCACTCTGATTTATATTTAAGCAACTCCGGGTGATTTGCATAATATGCAAACAGATGGATGTGATTCAGTGAGCGGTTTGGCAGAGTGTGAGCGAGCCTGCAACACTTGCTGTTGGAGGTCTGTCTCTGGCACCGAGAGCCCTCCGCTCACTTCTGTTTGGGAGTCCTGTTAGTAGCAGGCGGGGTCCCCTCACAAGTTAATCACCATTAAACCCCCCCATGGGAAAAACCATTCCTTTTATTTAGAGAGCGGGAAGAAAAGTAGAACAACCCTGGTCATGTAGACTTTTGACGTAGGGATGATTATTATTATAAATCAGTTTGGCAGCTCAATATCTAAAAATAGGAGAAAAAAAAAACTTCCTGTGTTAAGTTCCCACAGCCCTGTGGGTTAACAATTCAAAAGTTATGGAAAAAACATATAAAAAGTAGAATTAAAGATGAGACAGTTTAAAACAGAATCAGGAAACTCGACCTCCTCGTAAATATATGTTCCTCTCTGGCCAATCTTAGTTTTAAAGATTTAATGGCAGTAAGATAAACAGTGTTAGAGGTGAACAAGGAATTCATTTCAAGATTCCAGAGTCCCATCGTTCCAGCAAGTTTAGCGGAAATCCGTTCAGTGAGTCCTTGTGTTAACCTGCAAGCAAAAACTAAACAAATGAAATAACCCTCTCGATGCAGGAAACAGATATTTATCTTGTGTGTTTTGTTTTTTCCCCTTGAACCTACTCGTTTCCACCAGTCCTTATGCTAAGCTAGGCTAATTGCGTCACAGCTCCAGATCCACACACACACACACACACACACACAGTGAGAGTGTGGTCTCGATTTTGAAAAACATTGAGAAAAAGAAAATCGTGTCGTATCACGGATGGTTTGCAGGCTTCAATTAGCTTGGTTAGCAGATTGCCTCTAAAAAGGCCGTGGTAGGAAAACGGGCAGACGTTTTGATCGGTATCTTCCTCGGAACAAAACCAGTGTTGAGGTTGAGTTCCCTGAATGTTGCATGATTCCTTTAGGAAAGTTCCTCAGCGAGTCAAACAGAAGCCTCATTCAAAGAGAACATGTGTTGATGTAAGGAAGTAAAAGTCAGAACTACCTTTTCAAAAGTGCAGAAAGAGTCATTGTATGCGTGGTCAGGCGAATTCAATAATCCGTTATGAGCCTGGGATGAAACCACGTCTTGTTTTTCCCTTTGATATTCAGGATGCGGTCATGGGGTGAAGGAACAACTTATATACTTTAATGCCTATAAAAGCCACTAGTAGGACCCATACCTTAATCTGCTGCGGCCATCTGCTGAACCGTGAAATCACTGGTGGTGAGGCGGCGTGTTGTTGTGCCCTGAAGTATATCACAAGACCACAACTCGTGTGTAGGCATGTTATGTTGTAGTGGTTCAGCCTCTCTCCTCCATGGTTGTCAAGAGTGAAGAGGAGAGGGAGGATTGAGGATGGGTCATTTTTCTAATTTCACATTTTGTCTACGTATAACAAGACGACCAATCCAGCCAGGTCTCGGTTCCAAGGGGCGGGCAGTTCAACAAAATCAGTAATTATCGTAATGTGATTTTCATCAACAACGATATAACAGCATATGTTTATAGTACACATGCGTTGTGCAGGTAAACCTCAACCTTCACTCAGGTGAAGAAATGAATCTTTAAACTTGTAAGGAACAATAATATGACATTCTCCTTGAGAATTGTTTATTTTGATAAAAAAAAAAAAAAGCTGCAGCCCTTATTCGATTCTCAGGAGGTTTCAGTTCTGGTGCTGCGGTCGTCTAATTATTGATGTTCCGAGATAGAGTAAAGAAGATAAACGTTATTTTCCAGTTTGCAGATTCTAACGTGAACCTCATTCATTCACTCTGGTGCACACGTACTGTACCGGAGCGGGTAAATGGGTTTGAGTGCTGTCAGGTTTGACCCTGCCTCTCTGGCCCCTCTTATCTGTTCAGCCTGTACTGATGCATATTTATCCCTCATTGAGTGGCTGAGAGCTGGCTTAGCATATGGATTAGCCAGAGAATCAGATGCGTGGCCACACTGAATCTCCGTTGCTGCGACTGAGAACAAGTGGGTGGGGCTGCGTGAAGAAAGATTCACCTCAGACTGGAGTTGTCGAACGGCTCAACGGCGCTCGGGAATAATTCTCCAAAATAAAGCCGTCCTTTAAGAAACCTTACAGATGATGTTACCGGAGTAGATTATAAACTATTTGTCTTAATCCTCTGACGTCTTGTGTGCGTTGTTCATATCATATTCAGTTAACAACACATACATTTGTCTTTTCTCGTCTGTACAAAGTGTGACCATGTTTTTGCAGATTTAATTTACAGCAGCAGCCTTTTTCCTTTTTTCATGATTCTTTAGTCATGTGTTGTGCAGCAGATAATAAAGCCTCTGTGAGTTTGGGGTTTGCTTTGAGCACTCAACTGTACTTTAGTGGCTTTTTCATCCGTAGACTCTCCCCACACTGTTCGGCATCACTGCTGCGTAGGTGGCGAAAGAGGTTGGTGGTGTTTTGAGCCTCTTCTGGGCACCGGGCTGCAGCTTCATTTGCAAAGTACATTACTTGTAGGTTGGGGCGCCTTGTTTTGTCTGAGCACAACAGAGTTGCCCTGCTCTGCATCACATTTGTTTTTCATGCAGATCCCCCGCAGCAATGTTAAAATAATAAAACATATACAGTGTAATTATGCTGTAGTTAGAAACATCTGTCTCTTCTGTGTGTTTCTCCAAAAGAACTGGGAAGAAGAAGAATAATAATAGAGACATAGCACAAGTCTAAGGTGAACTGCATTTAGCAGCTTTAAAGGTACTCTCTTAAAAACCTTAGATGGTATTTAAGACTTCAGAGTCTTATAAATGCCAAGAAGTTTAGTGTAAAATTCTAACAATGCACTGACCTGCACGGCTCCTATCTCCGTGGCTTTGATTGTGAGACGCCGGCAGTTGTGAGACAAAATCTGATAGCGAAAGGCCACCAATTCTGTTTCATGCTTCTTTTTGATAACGCCGCCAACAGCAAGCCGTCGCGTCCGTGTGCATCCAAGAACTATTTCATTATTTTCTCAATGAACGATAGGAGTGGCCTCATGTCACGTCCTGCTGCTTCTTGGCTGAATGTCATCAGATAATTATACAACCTGTAAAAAAAGAGTGATCAAGCCTGCCAGAGACTGAAGCAATCATCCCGTAATGACAATGTGTGAGTGTGTGTTTGTCTGCCATGACCGGAGGTGTTATGTTTTCAGGTTGTCTGTTTGGCACAAACGTCCGCAAGGATGAACAGATTTATAATTTTAAGGTCAAAGGTTAAGGCCGCTCTTCTGTCACACGACACATCTTTGACCATAACTCTTGAATTTTACTATAGTAAAATCATTAAATATCCAAAAGGTCAAATGTCAAAGGTACTGCACCATTATAAAAACACAAATACACTTTTCTGACCTGTATTGAACCCGACATGCACGACACATTCACTTCTGCTGCCAGGATCGTGCTACTTTGAGTTTAAGTGATCATGATATTTGTCTTGGCTAACCCATGTGGTTAATGTTGCCTCAAGCCTTTATTTTATGATCGTAGTAAAGAGCACGCCTGGCAGCATGGAGAGTTAAGCAGCTGAGGAGGTGATGGAGGGATTACCTGCAGCACATTCCTCAACAGATACTGGGGACGACCGGCCTTTTGAAACAGGGTTCATACTACAAACTCGCTGTGATTCCTTTGGCCAGTCTAAGCCTTAAGTTAGACACTTCATTTGGCTGAAGGATTAGACAACTAAGCCTTTTAGTGGTAAGCTGGTCACATGAAAATATAACAGCGGTTTGTATAGACAAGAAAACCTTGCACCTCCTTCGGGGGATTTTCCTCTGTTCAACTCCCGAGACTCCTCCCATGTCATCCCTGCATGCATCAGTGGCTATGTGGATTTCCTTTTGCTGGAGCTGTGGCTATCTGTAGGATTTGGGCTAACTCCCGTCTCCCAGGATCGCTCTGTAAGAGCTTTTAACTCCTGGTCGTGTTGTTCCCTTGTTGGCAGAGATATGAAGGAATCACAGATTTGTCTTTTCTGTTTGCAGAGTTCCCTCTGACCTATATGCTGGGATGAGAGCTGGGATCAAAAGTACAGAAGCACTGAAGTGAAGACACCTGACCACCAAGGTAAGACGTGTTTTCACAGCTCTGTGTGCGGAGGCTGGACGTGTGTCTCAGTATTCCTGTTTCTGCAGACACAAGCAGCATCAATGGGATGTACGAGTTACAATGATACCTCGGTAGTGTTACCATGTCAGAAGACTGGTTGGTTTTATTTTTCTGTGCTAGGACACCGTATCTCATTTCCACAGGTGCAGATATCAGATTTTTTTTTTTTGGGAGGGGGGGGGGTGCGGGGGCAGTATGTATAGTGAATATGAGCTGTGTGGCACATACTGTACATACAGCTCACTCTTCACTGTCAGCTTCCCACACTTTTTTTCCCTGTCAGGACTCTACAGTCAATTAGAGAATGATCAAAAAATGGATTAGCGCAGCATCCAAAGAGGCTGCAGCTTTTTTTTTTTTTAATTTTTTTTGACTTTGTTCTTGCTGAGACACAGAGCGAACCCTTTCTCCCTCTGCCGCCTGAGGGTTAGGGTGGCATGACCACGATTATCCCACGAGTCTTCAAATACAGATAATAAAATAAATCACACCTTGAATATACTGTAAATCATTTTTATCACGTTACGTGGATAAACACGGACACATCACTGCACTTTATTTGACTGAAGAAATTACTGAACGCTGACAAACAGTAAATGGACACACTGGAATTAGCTTTGGTATTGCAACGGGTTCACCGAGCCGGTTATTCTTTACGTCTACTGGCAGCGGGCCCAGTGTATGACACACAGTTTACAGACCCCCGGGTTGCACCAGTCAGCAGTCCGCTCCAGTCCATATAGGCTCAAAGTCCTTTAAGGCAAGTTCTGGCACTTGGCAGCCATCTCGGCAAAAACCCGGGGCAGTTATTTCTGGCTATCAAGACCATGCCCTCATCTAAATGACTGAGGGGGGAGCCAGAATAATGTTTAATCTCTTTACTTCTACTACACAGGTGCACGGATGTCATGGCACCAACATCTTACTTCTTCTCCATCCTCAGTCGGCCGTTCTCATCTCCGCAGAGCACGCGAACAAATCCCATGTCAGGAGATGTTGAAATCCGACTGAACGGGAACAATCTTATACTTTGATATGCTTCCTGCTTCGGCTGTTTTATTGTAGATGATCGGCGTTTTGGGAAAGAAGGGGATACACCTGCCGTCTTTATAGACTTTTCTGTTGAGGATTCTTTTAGTTTTTCTCTCTTATATCCTCTCCTGTGTTATCCCGCTCTGTGTTGAACTTGCACTTTTCCCTGTTGCTGTCTTCAGTCGAACATGTCTGACAGGTCACACCTTCGCTTTGCACCAGTTTGTATGTTCATTGGTGACCCCCTCTCATATTGCCTTTCCATGATCCCTGTGTACACTGACATATATGCTGCAGCTCAGGTTGAAGTTCAGCTGCATTTTCAAATATCACAACCCTTTGGAAACACAACCCTGTCATATTGCAATAACTAGAAATACTAAATTTAGCTCAACACTAATGTTAATGCTTGGATTAGCAAATTCTTTCCTCTGCGTTTGGGCCTCTCGTTCACATGCAAACAGCCTTTTATTTAAAAACCTTGTTCCCGATGTTCTTCTCTGGTATTTGAAGTATGTATCGATAATATTCTTTCTGTGATAAGTGATGATTGTCTCGCGAGGAAAAGAAAATGGAACACTCACAGTTTACCTCTAATTGCGTTGTCAGAGTAAAACCACTATCTTGCAGGGAGACGGTTTTTATTTTGACCTCTGGTGTCTGAAGTCTCCGCACTCGCCTGTGAGCAAATGTTCGTTGGTGTTGTGTCGGAGATATGTGTAGCTTTTGTTTCTGTAAATATTTACATGTAAGCTCAACTAGTCCTAAAACTTCCTCGTACATCTCAAGCCTGCAGTAGGCTCGATCAATGGACACTTGTTTGACGCTCAGGAAAAAAAGAAAAGTCTGGAAAAGGATCCAAAGTAGAACCTTGCTCCAGTTAAAGTTGCTGAACAATTAGCATTGAGCCTTTGTGAGCAAGGAGCAAGTGCTTGATGAAGTGACCATTGTCAGAGGGACGGCAGGAGAGCTGCACATATCCTGCCCTCGTGCTTCTCAGGGGGCAGAGAGAAGAAGAAGCTGAGCCCCTCCCTGCCCATCTGTCATGGCCATCAGGGGAATCACTTTCTCGCCCTGGCACACACTCTCACAAACACAGACGAGCACAATCCATCCCCCCGCCCCCACCCTGGGCAACCATTCACGACAGCGAATACAAACACGCGCACACATAATCAAATGGACAAACATGTACAAACATCCACATGCGCACAGCCGCAGATGGATACAAACACTCACTGTCTCACACGTCCAAATTTATACACAGATAATCTCCGAGCTGCGCTGACATTTATCTCCAGCCAGGGAGCACCGGGGATCTGACAAAAACAGCAGGATAGGCAAACTGTGCGGAGGCTCAGAGCCAGCAGTCAAATTACTTTTATTTTCTGACGGTTCGACTCGCCACCTGGCCGGGTAATCCCAGCGCACGCTTTTGGACAGCTCTCGTACTAAACCTCTGTTTCAATTTGAGGGAATTGAATTCCTGGTGCGGCCATTCAACCCCTGCCCGGCTCTCACTGGAAGGAGTCGGCTCTATGGCCCTTAATTCTGTGCAGAAAAGAGACACAATGACATTTAAACTGAGACCGTTATAGTCAGAGGGATGTGTGCACAAGCTGCCGCTGCATTACTGTTGTCTTCTTTTCTATTTGAGATATCCAAACAAGCGTTTTTCTGGATAAACAAAAAGCAAACTTGATAACCTGCCTTGAGGCTCTTGAATGAATAGACAGGATATAGACGTGGTAATTTGGTTTTATTCTGCAGAGAAGCCAGGGATTAATTTAGAAAGACAATTAGCAAGCGTGCTGCTAGACGATATTTCCTGGAACAGAGGAAACAATAAGTGAATAATGACGCTGACTAATGCCAGGGTGATTTAGTTTGTGTTTGTGCAGCTGAGTGTGTTGTTGTGTTATGATGCTTTACCTGGCTTCGGCCGTGGAGGCGCAATGTGAGCGTTTCTCTTTGTTATGAAAGGCGAGTGCTCACCGCCTTGTGCCGCACGCTTTGTTATTGTCGTGCAGGATAAACAAGGTGCAGCTGTAATGTTAGGTTGCAGCTTTGCAGAGATAGAGTGGGTGGTATTTTTATGAAACCGTGCGGTTTCTTGGACAGTTCTCTCATTGACTAAAAGGAAGTGGTTTCTGCCTCCTCTCTGCAAAGCACAAAATGTTCCTCTTTTGCAGCTTTCGCCTGATAGGCTTTTATTTCATTCATTCTTGTGTTATCATGTCAGCGCCTGTGTTGAGAGTGTTTGGGGTCAGACTGGAGGCCCAAGTGTAAAAGTGCAAACCACAGTCGGCAGAGAGTAGAACGTGTTTGTGTTGTAATGTTGAGTAATATTGTTGCTGGTTGTGGTTGATCACCTCTCGGAGCTGGGTTTCACTTTGGCCCTCAGTGCTGCAGAGAACAAAGGTGAACCGCAGGTCTTTATGGCGGCTCCAAAGGTTGAGCGTGTTAGCAATTGACTTTTTTTAAATCACATTTCTATTCCTTGTAGATTGAGGGCGGCTCAGTGGTGCAGTGGGTAGCACAGCTCTGGTAATGAGGGTCCCGGTTTGGACCCCGGGGTCTTTCTGTGTAGCATGTTCTGTCCTTTTTCTGAGATTTGGGGGTAGATTAATTGCAGACATAGAAGTGAATGTGTGTTTAATGCTGTTCTGGTTGGCACGCCTCTCATCCAATGACAGCTGGGATTGGCTGAAGCCCCTCAGTGACCCTCGAAATATAAGCGGTGTAGATAAATTGATGGATGGATATGTAGACTGAGCCAGTCTTCCCTTAAAAGGTGCCAGTTGAGATGCTTCTGGCATTTTATCAAGTGTCCCTCTTGTGCGCCTTCTGCTGGAGGTTTTCCCGGGCATGCCCAACTGGGAGGAGACACCAGGGTAGACCCAGACCTCGCTGGATGGATTACATGTCCCATCTGGTCTGGGAACACCTCAGGTGGAGCTGGGAAGCCGAGCAAAGGAGGACAGAGATGACTGGAACGCCCTGGTTGGCCTGCTGCTGCCGGGACCCGACCCTGGATAAGTGGACTGATGGACTGATGGACATGTAGATTGATCTTTGAGCATCCACACATTACGTTGGTTATTGCCACAGATAACATGGGCTCTGCTATATTAGGGAATTCATTGGAATGGTGTAGTTGTGATGTAGGACAGCATTCCCCAACACCGCCTACTGGCGCTGTGCGTCCTGTGCCTTGTTAATGCCGTTGGGTTTGTTGGGCTACGGTAACTTCTGTTTGGGTTCATCAGCCGCCCTGTTACCAGAATCAGTTCTTCAACCCCTCCCCCAGGCAAATATATACCCCGCGGAGTTTCTCATAAACAAACAGATGTGTTTACATTCAGTGTTTCTCATCAGAACACGTTTCCTTGAGGCCTTTGGGAAGCTGATATTCAGATGTATTAAAAGCTTCTTCCTCTTCTTTGACTTTTTGCTTTTCCATAGCTTCTTTTTTTTTGGCCTGTGATCAGTTGGTTCGTGAAATAGCATGAAACTGGAGCCAGGAATGTGTATGGACATTAATCTGCCGATATTTTGTTGGTTAATCCTTTTTTTTAAAAATCTCCCTGGAATATAAAGCAGAGGGTTATATAGATCAGTTTGTCCATCCTTCCATCTGCAATCATTTTGTTTCTGAACGCAAAATCTATCATGGACATTTTTATGAAACCTCAAATTTATGTTCAACAACTAGTGAAGTGCTGTTTTATATTTAGGGTTTCATGAAATGTAATATTTGTATTTTCATTGCAACGACATATATATATATATGCAGGGATTTACTTGTTTTCACTGACACTGTACACATCTCTCAGTTTAAAAGATTCACGCGTTGAACCTTCAAGCAAACCGTCAAAGGCGGACGGCCATAATACGAGAGCATGTTTTCTTTTAAGACTGACATT